TGGGTCTCCGCCTGTCCCCCCTCCCCACCCCCGCCAAGGCAGCCACAGCTGGGCCTGGCTTGAACTCAGGACGGCTGTCCCTCAGCTTGCTTGCTCCAGGCCAGCGCTCCACCTCTTGGGCCAGAGCGTCCTACCGCTGCCCGCTGACCCCTCCTCAACCCCAGCCAAGGGCGGCCTGGGGCCCCGGGCGCCCAAAGCAGCCAGGGCCAGCCTGACCCCAGGCCTGCGCAGCCAGGGAGGGGCCGGCAACGGCCTCCCTAGCTGTCGGTGCTGGGATGCGTTTCCTCGGGTGTCACTGCAGATGTCACAAAAATCATCATTGTTCCCTTGACAGTGGGATTTGGTAGAGGCCACTGGGAAAGATGTCCTTCATACAGCAGCAGGTTGCACACTAGTTGGGGAGGGCCGTCCCCCCAGGTAGAGGGGAGTGTGGTGGCGCACCACCCACCCACAGGCGGCCTCAGGCTCCAGGTGCATGGAGCACTCCCACTTCTGGCCACTTGGCACGAAGTCTTGGTTTCTCTACCTGTGCTGGCTTTGAATCACAACCCTCCTGTCTAAGCTCCCTGAGTAGCTTGGATTCCAGACAGGAGTCACTGGGTCAGCCTGGTTCTACATGAAACCATTCAAGACACCCCCAAGTCCTGACTGAAGAGATGAAGTAAGGAGCCTCCACCTGGCCCCATTGTAGACTGTTCCTCACAAAGTCCACTGCCCCCCCAGACCATCCGCAGGGTGCCAGGAAAAGCAGTATGACCCAGAATTCCCCCGCCAGCATCACCTCAAGTGCAGCCCAAGGTTTATCCAATGTACTTTATTCATAACAAAATACATGTAAGAACTTAAGTTTAAAAGACAGCAGGAGTCCTGGGGTTGAGAAAAAGAAGGTCTGCTAGCAGCATGGGGTTGGGCTCTCAGCAGGGAGGGCTTGGATGGAGAGCCCACGGGCTGTTCTCAGCAGTCCCCGTTGGGAATGGAGCAGGCCCGGCGGGGGCCTGTGAGAGTCTGTCACTGCCTGTGAGGTCGCTTGGCCTTGGGCTCCTCCTCCTTCTGCTCCTGCTTCAGCCATCGATCCAGGAGGCCTGCCCCACTGCCTCTCTTGGCTGGCTGTGGGCTCTTCTGCAGGAACTGACTGGACCACTGAGGCACATCCAACTCTTTCTTCGGGAGGGCTTTGGGGGTTTCCTTTATGGGCGACTTTGTGACCAGCCACTGCATCAATTTCTGGCTACTACCACTTGCTTTGGGCTCCTAGGAAAGAGAGAAGTTTTTACCACCCACCCTGACCTTTTCAGGAAGACCATCCAAAGAGCACAAAGAGGCCTTAGGAACCAGCATTCAGCGTGCTCTAAGAACAAGAGCAGCCAGCAGAGAAGGCTGCAGACAATGAAAACAGCCTTAGAGAAATGAAGTAATTTACTGGAACCAAGTAGGAGCATGTAAGAAAACCAGAAGGCACTAGTGGCTCACACCTGTAATCCTAACTACTCAGGAGGCTAAGACCTGAGAATCGCAGTTCAAAGCCTGGTCAGGAAAGACTGAAACTCTTATCTCCAATAAACCACCAGAAAACCAGAAATGGCACTGTGGCTCAAGTGGTAGAGTGTTTGTGTTGAGCTGAAGAGCTGAGGGACAGCACCCAGGCCCAGAGTTCAGGCCCCATGACAAGAAAGAAAGAGAGAGAGAGAGAGAAAGAAAGAAAAAGAAAACCAGCAGGCTCAGGACTGTAATCCCAGCTACTCAGGAGGTTGAGATCTGAGGATCATGGTTTAAAACCAGCTGAGGGGGCTAGGAATGTGGCTTAGTGGTAGAGGGCTTGCCTAGCATGCATGAAACCCTGGGTTCAATTCCTCAGTACCACATACACAGAAAAAGTCGGAGGTGGCGCTGTGGCTCAACTGGTAGGGCGCTATCCTTGAGCAAAAGAAAAAGAAGCTCAGGACAGTGCCCAGGCCGAGTTCAAGCCCCAGTACCAAAAAAGAAACACACACACACGTTGGGCAGAAAAGTTCATGAGAATCTTACACACACACACACACACGTTGGGCAGAAAAGTTCATGAGAATCTTACACACACACACACACACACACACACACGTTGGGCAGAAAAGTTCATGAGAATCTTACACACACACACACACACGTTGGGCAGAAAAGTTCATGAGAATCTTATCTCCAAAGAACAACCAGAAAGCCACAAGAAACTAGGCGGGGGGGGTGGGGGGTCGGCAGGGGCGCAGAGATGGGAGGGCAGGGATGGTAAGGGGAAACAAAAAGGAGGAAGCAACAATGCTTGCTAAGAAATGTACTCATTACCTTGCTCATGTAATTGTAACCCCTCTGTACGGTATTTTCACGATAAAAAAAAATAAAAATAAATAAATAAAGGGCTGGGAAGGTGGCTCAGTGGTAGAGTGCTTGCCTTGCATGCCTGAGGCCCTGGGTTCGATTCCTCAGCACCACATAAGCAAAAAGAAAAAAGCCGGAAGTGGTGCTGTGGCTCAAGTGGTAGAGCGCTAGCCTTGAGTTGAAGAGCTGAGGGACAGTGCCCAGACCCAGAGTTCAGGCCCCACAACTGGACCCAAAAAAAATTAAAAAATAAAAAAAAACTAGGCAAGTGTGAAACGCCCTTCTGAGAAAAAAGGGTGATAAAGAATGGCAGTGGGGCACACTGACATTGATGAAAGTGAACTATGTACATAACTAGTGGGGGAGATGGGAGGAGGGAATGGGAGAGAATGAGGGAGTGTACTCTTACCTGACACATGTAAATGTAACCCCTCTGTATTATCACCTCTATAATAGCCTGAACTCTGGGCCTGGCTGGGCGCTGTCCCTCAGCTCTTCAGCTCAAAGCTAGTACTCTACCACTTGAGCCACAGTGCTACTTCTGGCTTTTTCTGCTTATGTGGTACTGAGGAATCAAACCCAGGGCCTCATGCATGCAAGGCAAGCACTCTACCACTGAGCTGCCTTCCCAGCCACTTCCGGTTTTCTGGTGGTTTATTGGAGATAAGAGTCTTTCAGACTTTTCTGTCCCGGCTGGCTTTGAACCATGATCCTCAATCTCAGCCTCCTGATTAGCTAGGATGACAGGCGTAAGCCACTGTCGCCCGGCTTAACAATAAATTCTTAAAAAAAGAGAAAAAAAAGGTTCAAGGCCCTTAGTTCAAGCCCAGAAATGGCACAGCAGAAAGAATACAAGTAAAAAAGAAAGCCAGGGAAATGTATGCTTCCACAGCCACCACAATCAGGGATCACAGGCTTTTCTGGGCTATTGTTACACCCCTGTGCCCCGTTCAGAAACGCCTATTCCAAGCAGAAGTTCTGGATTAACATCAGGCTGCCTCTCCAAAATATGACAGTGCAACCACTAATGCAAAGTGAATATATTAATTTTTTTTGGGGGGTGTCAGTCCTGACACTTGCTCTCTCTGCTCAAGACCAGAGCTCTACCACTTGAGCCACAGCTCCACTTCCAGCTTTTAGCTTGTTAACTGGAGTCTCATGGACTTTTTTGCTGGAGCTGGCTTCAAATAGCGATCCTGCTGGGCACTGATGGGTCACACCTGTAATCCTAGCTATTGAGGAAGCTGAGATCTGAAGATTGTGGTTCGAAGCCAGCTTGCCCAGGAAAGCCCGTGAGACTTTTTTTTTTTTTGATCACGGGACTTGAACTCAGGGCCTGGACAGGGCCTCTTTGTGCTCCAGGCTTGAGCTCTATCACTTTGAGCCACAGCTCTACTTCTGGTTTTCTAGTGGCTAAATGGAGATAAGAGTCTCACAGACTTTTCTGCATGGGCTAGCTTTGAACCACTTTCCTCAGATCTCAACCTCCTAAGTAGCTAGGATTACAGGCGTGATCCACCAGCACTCCACTTCATGAGACTCTCAAGTCCAATAAACTACCAAAAAAGCTGAAAGTGGAGCTGTGGCTCAAGCAGTAGAGTACTAGCCTTTAGCAAAAGAAGCTCAGAGTCAGTGCCCAGGCAGGCCCTGAGTTCAAGCCCCAGGGCCAGCACCAAAAAACAAAAAACCAATGGTGATCCTAAGATCTCAGCCTTCTAAGTAGCTGGAGTTACAGGAATGAGCCACCCACGCCCAACTACATTTTCTTTTTTTGATGGGACCCAGGACCCTGAACATACTAGATAAGCGTTCAGCCATTGCAGTGGAGCAATGGAACCTTACTGTTAACATTTTGGGAGAGTTTTCCAGAGGCACAGCTGCTCTGTACTGTCTGCCTAAGGAGTGTGAGCATTTTAGGTAGTTCAAAGTGCTGACTGTGAAAGGCTTGTCACCAAAGTCTTACAAGGGGACTAATAGCACCCCCTACCTTTTTAACCATCAAGTTGACAGGAGCCAGACATTCAGGAGTATCGTTTCGAGAGTTGTTCACCACTGGAGAGACCGGGTGGAAAGTGATGTTCTCTGTGGGATGAATTAACTTCAGAGCTTCCTGAGATGAGACCTCACCAAAGTCGAGCCATTTGGAGACTGCTTCCTCTCCATCTAATATGGCAGGCATCCTAGCCAAGAGGTCAAGAGTGCCATTAGTGAGGGTAGGAAGACAAAGGACAGATTTCACTGATGCCTCCCTTGGTCATCTGAGGGGGAGCTGCACACTGTCTGTCACATGCCTCCTGAGGGCACAAGAGTCAACCCTGGGAGAGACAGGGTCTGGCTATGTAGCCTAGGCTGTCCTCAAACTTGAAATGCTCAGCCTCAGCCTCCCATGTTCTGAGACTATGTAGAGAAGGACCACTATACATGACAAAACCTATCTCAAAAAAAAAAGTTGGACCTTTCAGGACATCAGATACCACAGAATTAATTTCTTTTCATGATAATCGTGGTGGTTTCAAACAATTTTCCAAAGCTATCTTCAGTGAAGAAAGGCCACAAGTATATATGAAAATGGTATGAAAGGATGAAGGAGGTTACGCAGTAGATCAAATGTTTAAAACAAGTTGCTATGCTCTAAGCTACATATTGGTAGCTCACACCTATGATCCTATCTACCTAGGAGGGTGAGATGTGAGGATCAAGGTTCAAAGCCAGCCCGGGCAGAAAAGTCCATGAGACTCTTATCTCCAATAAATCATTCAGGAAAAGCTGGAAGTGTTGCTGTGGCTCAAGTGCTAGAGCGCTAGCCTTGAACATAAAGAGGATCGGGGATAGCATCCAGACCCTGAGTTCAAGCCCCAGGACTGGCAAAAAAGCAAGTTTATGTTCTAGACTAATACAATGCAAATAGCTAATACTAATATAACTAATACAAATAGCTTATACTTCCTGGCCAATGGTACAATTGATTTTAAGAGACACACACAAACATCCACATTAACAGTTAAATGGTGTGTGTGTGTGTGTGCGCGCGTGCGCATGTGCACACATGCACACACGTACCAGGACTAGGGCTCAACTGAACTCAGGGCCTAAAAACTGTCCCTTAGCCCTCTGCTCAAGCTGGAATGCTACTATTGAGCCAGAACTCTAGCTCAAACTCAAGTAGCTAGGACTGGAGTACCTAGGACTACTTTAATGTATTTTTCTTTTGTGTGCTGGTACTATTTTTAAAAGTACTTGTTTTTTGTTTGTTTTGTGGTGGTACGGGGCACAGTCACTGAGCTTTTTTTTTTTCCCCCAAGACTAGCATTTTACCACTGGAGCCACAGCTCCACTTACAAAAAACTTTTTGGTGGCTAAATGGAGGTAAGAGTCTCATAGGTCTAGGGATGTGGCTTAGTGGTAAGAAGCTGCCTAACAAGCTCAAGGCCCCCAAGTTCAAACCCCAGTACAAAAAAATAATAATAATAATAAATCTCCTGGGGCTGAGAAGGTGGCTCAGTGGTAGAGCGCTTGCCTTGCATGCCTGAGGCCCTGGGTTCGATTCCCCAACACCACATAAGCAAAAAGAAAAAAGCCGGAAGTGGCGCTGTGGCTCAAGTGGTAGAATGCTAGCCTTGAGCTGAAGAGCTGAGGGACAGCGCCCAGGCCCAGAGTTCAGGCCCCACGACCGGACCCCCCAAAAAAAATCTCCTGCTTGGGCTGGCTTCAAACTGCAATCCTCAGATTTCAGAGAGTCAGAGGTGCCAGTGGCTCACACTCCTGGAGACTCTAATCTCCAATTAACTACTCAAAAACCAGAAGTGGCATTGTGGCTCGTGGTAGAGCACTAGCTTTGAGCAGGAAGAGGCTCAAGGCTAGCACCCAGCCCGAGTTCAAGCCCCAAAACAACAAAAATAAAAGCAGAGGAAGTGTCTTGCCTGTGGTGGATGTCGCTCAAGCCTCTGCAGGAATCCACTGTGATGATGGTGTAGGAGTAGAGGAGGTCTCCCCCCTCCGGGGGCTCCCAGCAGTCAAAGATCCCTGCCATTGTCAGCAGCCTCCAATTGTCCCAGACCTTCTCCCAGTTCTCTGGGCTGCCTATCACACCACTGCTACCTGACTAGAACACATGGGAAGATTAGACACACTCAACAGCCCTCCCACAGCACAGCAGGAGCTTCTTCAGACCACAAAGCAGTCATTTTAGAAATAATTCAGCCCATTCTCATTCCCTCTCTCTCTTTCTCTCTGTTGGTTATGGGGCTTAAACTCAGGGCCTGGATGCTGTCTCTAAGATTTTATGCTCAAGGCTAATGCTCTATCACTGGAGCCTCAGCTCCACTTCCTTTTCTGGTGGTTAATTGGAGGTAAGTCTCAGGGACTTTTCTGCCCGGGCTGGCTTTGGACTGTGATCCTCAGATGTCAGCCTCCTGAGTAGCTGGGATTAGAAGTGTGAGTAACTAGTACCCAGCTTCAGCCCATTCTTTATCACTGATCCACTGTCATTAATAAAAAGGGGCTTGGTGGAAAATAGCTCTGAAGTTGAGGCTTACAGTTCCTAAACACCTTCCTCATTTGACATTTTCGGGCCTACACAGGTAACTTGAACTCAAACCCCTGTTTGTAAAACGAAGGTCTCATGCAACCTACACCTCTGTGTAGGTTGCTGAAGCAGTCTTCTTCACAAAACTCTTCCCACCCCCTTTCTCACCAGGCCAACTTCTATACACTGTTGAAGCTTCCATTTAAAACCTGTAATATTGGGGCTGGGAAGGTGGCTCAGTGGTAGAGCGCTTGCCTTGCATGCCTGAGGCCCTGGGTTCGATTCCTCAGTACCACATAAGCAAAAAGAAAAAAGCCGGAAGTGGCGCTGTGGCTCAAGTGGTAGAGTGCTAGCCTTGAGCTGAAGAGCTGAGGGACAGTGCCCAGGCCCAGAGTTCAGGCCCCACGACCAGACCACCCCCCCCAAAAAAAATAAATAAAATAAAACCTGTAATATTGAAGGCTGAGAAATGCATTACTTATATTCCAACAGTAAGAAAAAAGCTAGGCAATTTACAAAATCATACATTTTTTTTAAGGTTATATCAGTGATTTGAGATGCTGGTCAATCAACAAGACTGGAGCCTGAAGAAGAGCAGAGATAACTTCTCTTAGACAACACAAATACTAGTTTATTGATGGCAACACAAGGAAAACACGGCTTCATACAAACAGTAAAGAACTCTGATATAATTATCAATATGTTAAAATTGTATCATGGGCAGTCTGAGAGTCTATAACCCCCAGGCACTGCAGAAATCAAGAGGTTTATGTTGACTCACAGGGTCTCTGCAGACCTCATTAATGCTTAGAGAAAACAGGAGCAGACTGGGCTTCCAGGCTGTTGCTGTACAGCCTGCGTACAGAAGGAGGCCTTCCCTCATGATTTCTCTCCTGAGGACTTGTCTCTAGTTGCCAGGGAAACAGTGGACTTTAAACCATGATCCTCAGATCTTAGCCTCTTAGGAAGCTAGGATTATAGGCGTGAGCCACTGGCACCCCATTTTTTTTTTTTGAAACAGGTCTTACTACATAGCTCAGGCCAGCCTCAAAGTCAAGATTCTCCTGCCTCAGCCTTCTGATTTCTCAGATTATCAGATTACAAATTTGTGTTCACCATATGTGTCTTTATTATTGAAGAAATGTTTATGAGGCATTTCTTTGGTCTTGGGGCCTGAACTCTGGGCCTGGGCGCTATCCGTGAGCTCTTCAGCCCAAGGCTAGTGCTCTACCACTTGAGCTACAGTGCTATTTCTGGTGGTTTTCTGGAGATAAGAGTTTTAGGACTTTCCTGCCTGGGATGGCTTTGAACTGCAATCCTCAGATCTCAGCTTCTTGAGTAGCTAGGATGACAGGTCTGAGCCACCAGGTACCCGGCAAAAATATTCTTCATAGTCACATATCCCTTATGATGAGGTAGTTCTGAGAAATTCATCACTAGACAATTTCATTGTTGCATAACACCATAGGGTGTACTCACACAAACGCACACAGTACAGCCTCCCTACACAGCCAGGCTCAGGCACAGCCACGATACACATGCACTGTATCACTGACTGAAACAATTCATATAGCACATGACTGTGATATGTTTCCCTGTCCTTTCCAAAAATGTATTGTTAGTGCAGCTGCTAATACCTTTTCTGTCTTGACTTGGGGGAAGTAGATGAAGTATGGCTGCCTCTGGCTTGTTCTCTGACAGCGCTGCCACTCGTAGAATCCATCTGCCAAGACAACACAGCGTCGTCCCTTTCCCAGAGGTACCTGAGAAGGAAAGGTGATCATTATGTTTCACAGGGTTCCGTTGTATGGACCCAAGTTCAAAAAAAAAAAAATCTCAGGTTCAAAACAGTAATCCTTCTGTACATCACCTTTATAATACCTATAAAAAAAATTTAAAAAAATCTCAGGTCAGCCGGGCGCTGGTGGCTCACGCCTGTAATCCTAGCTACTCAGGAGGCTGAGATCTGAGGATCGCCGTTCAAAGCCAGCCCGGGCAGGAGAGACCGTGAGACTCCTATCTCCAATAAACCACCAGAAAACTGGAAGTGGCACTGTAGTTCAAGTGGTAGAACGCTTGCCTTGAGCTGAAGAGCTGGAGGGGCAGCGCCCAGGCCCAGAGTTCAGGCCCCACGACCGGACCCCCCCCCCAAAAAAAAAAAAGAGAAAAAAAGAAAATTCCAGGAAATTCATCAATCACCACCAAAAAGCTCAAAGTGGAGGTATGGCTCAAATGGTAAAGTGCGCCTTGAGTAAAAAAGCCAAGCAAGAATGAAAGGCCAGAGTTCAAGCCCCAGTACTGATACACATACAAAATTTAAAAACAAAAAAAATTTTTAGTGCCTGTCATGGGACCTGAACTCAGGTCCTAGGCTCTGGTGCTCAAGGCTAGCACTCTAGCATTTACTTGAACCTCATCTTCACTTCTGGTTTTTGTCTAATTAACCAGCATAAAGTCAGAAGTAGAAGAATGGCTCAAGTGATAAGAGTGATAATCCTTGAGAAATTAAGGGACAGTGCTCAGGCCCTGAGTTCAGGCCCCAGTACTGGCACAAAAAAAGGTTGGAGATGTGACTTAGTGGTAGAGTGCTTGCCTCGCATGCATGAAACCCTGGGTTCCATTCCTCTGCACTGTAATCACTTAACCACAATTAAAAAAAAAAAAAAAAAAAAACCTCCTGAAGCTCAGCCCGAGTTCAAGCCCCCAGGACTGGGAGAAAAACAAACACAAAGGACCTAAAAAAGCCTAAACAAAGTAGTTCTATTTTATTTACTACATTTTTCTGCGTGCGGTGGATTGACCCAGTTTTTTTTTTTTTTGTTTTTGTTTTGGGTCTGGCTGTGGGGCCTGAACTCTGGACCTGGGCGCTGTCCCTCAGCCCTTCAGCTCAAGGCTAGCACTCTACCACTTGAGACAGAGCAGCGCCATTCCGGCTTGTTCTGCTTATGTGGTGCTGAGGAATCGAACCCAGGGCCTCATGCATGCAAGGCAAGCGCTCTACCACTGAGCCACCTTCCCAGCCCATTGACCCAGTTTTGAGTATGGGAAGTGGGCACATGCCCAGAACTCTAGGCCTGGGACCCTAACTCCACTGGCACGGGACACTGAAGGGACCCTGACTGCCGAGGCTCGGCAGCCTTTAAACGGCGTGCTCACGCTCACTGTGCGGCTGACACAGACTGGGCCTGTCTGAAGTGGCGACACGGCTCGGCCGTTTGCGGCGTGCGGACAGCTCCGCGGGCGCCGCGCACCGCGCTTCTCCAGCGGGGCCAGGCGGCCCGCGGGCTGAGGCGGCCTCCCCACCCCGCGGAGGCTCCGGGCGAGGCCGGGCCGGCCCGCGCTTACCTTCTCCAGGTGCAGTCGCGAGAGCAGCACGGGCCCGCGGGACCCAGGGCTCAGGTTGTAGGTCGGGCGGTACTTCTCCGGATCCCTCCACCGCGGGAGGCGCCGCCGGCCCTGCCGGTCCCGGTAGGCGCAGGCTCTGGCCAGGGCCTCCCCGGGCAGGTGGCAGGACGTGCGCCCACACATGGTGCGGCGAGGCCTGCGGGCCCGCAACGGGTCAGACGTGCGCCCCTT